GGCTTAAACTCATGCCAGGCCCGTGTGCGTGTGTGCCCAAGATCCCAAGAGGAGAATGGAGGAGAAGGGATGGGGGCATGGCCATCCCCCCTGGGGGGGGGGGTTGATTTCTCGCTTTCTGTCTCTCTGTCTGTCTCTGTCTTTCTGGCGAGTGCACACGCTCTATAGCAAAACCTCTCAAAAACAAAACAAAAACAAATGGAATTAAATCAATAATTAATTAAAAAAAAGATTTGAATGGAATTTCACCAAAGAGAAAGGGATGTGTAGATGGTAAATGAGCACATGAAAAGATATTTACCATCATTAGTCATTGAGGAAATTAAAAACATACACACACAATGAGCAACGACTGCATGTGTATTAGAATAAGTCAAAAGATAAAGAAAAAAGACAACACCCACGTACTAGCAAGGATGCGGAACCAACGCTTTGACACATTGCTGGTGGGGATTCAAAATGGTATAGCAGCTTTGGAAATGACTTTGCTCCCTGTGAAGGTAAACGTACTCTTACTTTATAGCTCAGCAACCACTCCTAGGTTGCAAGGAAGTGAAAACACATGTCCAAACAAAGACCCGTACATGAATGTTTACTGCAGCTCTATTCGTGACAGCCCCAATCTGGATACAACCCAAGTGTCCATCCACTGGTAAATGGAGCCTGTGGTACATCCATGTGCATATTTCACCAATCAAAAGGTACAGACAAGTTGTATCTTCAGTGACATGGCTAAATCCAAAAGCACTAAGTAAAAGAAATCAGACTCCAAAGCAGACATGAATGATTTCATTTAGATGACATCTAGAGAAAGGCAAAACTATAGAGACTGAAATCAGATAAATGCTTGCCAGAAGGTGTGTGAAGGGAGGGGAATGATTAAAAAGGTACAGGAGGTAACTTTTTGGGATGATGGAAATAGTCTATTAATATGTGTTGAATGAGGTGGTAATTACGTGACAGGATACATCTCCAAAACTCATAGAACTGTATACCTAAAGAGAATTGATCACTGTATTTCTCAATAAGCCTACTTCAAAATCTGTAATTCAAAAATGAAACAGATAAATGACTGCTGATAAAGATATATTTAAAAATTTTGGCTGTCCTTCCAATTCTATATTCTCTTTACTACATTAGTTTTTAAATACAAATAGACAACTTACTGTCCTGCATAGAACTGAAGATGTCATTGGTTTTAACATGCATCCTTATTTCAAAGATAACAATATGAAGAAATGAATGTCTTAAATTGATGAAACACAGTAAGTTATTTAGGATTAGCTTTTGAATTTTTTTGAGCTATAATTCATTTACCATAATAGCCACCCTTTATAAGTATACAATTCAGTGATTTTTATTAGATTCACAAGGTTATATGATCATCACCACTATCTAATTCTGAAACATTTTTGCCATCTCCAAAAGAGAAATCCCATACCTATCAGCAGTTTCTCCTATGCTCCTTCCCCTAAGCCCTAGAAACCATCAATTTACTTTCTGTCTCTATGGATTTGCCTTATCTGGATATTTCACATAAAAGGAATCATACCATATGTGGTCTTCTGTGTCTAGCCACTTTTTCTTAGCATAATGGTTTCAAAGTTCATCTACATTGTAGTGTGAATCAGTATTTCACTGCTTTTTATGACTAAATCATATTCTTTTGCATGGCTATTGCACATTTTGTTTATCCATTCAGCAACTGATGGACATTTAAGTTGTATTTACTTTTTGGCTATTATGAATAATGCTGCTATAAACATTCGTTGTGCAAGTTTTTGTGTGTACCTATGCTTTCGTTTCTTTTATGTATCTACCTAGAAGTGGAACTGCTGGGCACCAGGGTAATTTTATGCTTAATTTTTTGAGGAACTGCCACACTGAGTGGGTATGAAATGGTATCTCATTGAGCCTTTGGTTTGCATTTCCATAATGGTTAACAATATTGAGCATTTTAAAATGTGCTTTCTGGCCATTTGTACATTTTCCTTAAATATCTATTTAAATTCTCCCCCCCCCCTTTAATTACTGCTAGAAAGTTTGTGTGTTCACTGGAGAGAAAGAGAGACAGCCCTCCCAGCAGGATGTGGTGGCACTGTAATCTTTTTCTTTCATTCTTCCCTCCCTCCTATCAGGATTTTGCATATCCATGCACATGCACTTGGCATGCTTTTCAAGCCTCCAGGACTGTGATTCAAACTGTGGTTGTTCATGTGGGATCTGGTTTCCTTAACTGCTGCGCTACAGGGCTGGCCCATCTTTGCTCGTTTTAAAATCGGGTCATTTGTCTTTTTTATTGTTGAGTTGTTGTCACACTTTATATAATGTGGATATTAGACCCTAATAGGTACATAATTTGCAAATAGAACATAAGAGAACATAATTTGTTCTCTTTCTGTGGGTTGTCTTTTCACTTTCTTAGCAATATGCTTTCGAGTATTAAAGTTAGTTTTTTTTTATTATGGAAATTTCAACTTTTGATGGTGTCCAATTTACCTATTTTTTCTTTGGTTGTGCTTTTGTGTCATATCTAAGACACTACTGGCTAATCTATATATATATATATATATATGTGAGATAGAAATCTAAGATTAACTTTTGCAGTATAAATAGTATCACAAGTGCTAATATACATTGTGTTAAGGTAAATTTTAATGAAAAAAAATTCATTTACCTGTCCACTTCTTATGATAGAAGGGGGAATTGAGAAGAAGTATCCAGCTTTCACTCCTTCCATAGCTACAGATGGCCGACCATCAAATGCATGCAGCAGTACCTTGTCAGCACCTCTCAAAAGAAGTAAGAATAAATTAGAGTTTCATCTTATTTCTATAAAAAGAGGTTTTCCCATTAATCAAACTAAACAAAAATCTGAAATGTTAAGTGATGTTGATCACTAAAATATAAGGATGATGTTTTATAACTCCTAAAGGATGGGTAAATATACAGAATTCAGAGTTAAATAAAAATATAGCAAATTCCCCATCTCCAGAATATAATTATTAAGTAATATTAAACTATAATTTCTTAAAAATATTTATTTATTTAAAGTTGATCAGAGATAGACACAGAGAAAGAGGGAAAGTGAGAAAGCAAGCCACCAGGTCCGGGACTCAAACCACAGTTGGCCATGTGGAAGTCCAGCGCCTTACCCACCATGCCACCTGTAGGTTTTATTGTTTCTAATAAGAGCTTTTTAGGCTATCAAATTGATTTTCTTAACAAAAATGTTAGTGGAAAAAAAAAGCACTAAAAGAGTCCTAAATTTTATAGTCAAAATTGCCTTCATAAAACTAACACTAATGGGGCCAGCAGGTGGCATGGTGATTAAGGCACTGGACTCCCACATGGCCAACCATGGTTCAGGTTCTGGACCTGGCAGCTTGAAAATTATGCTGGGTGCATACATTGTGTACATGCCCAAATTCTGAGAAGAGAATGGAAGAGAAGAGATTGTGGTGGGACCATCCCCTTGGGAGGTCATTTCTCACTTTCCCTTCCTCTCTCTCTGTCTCTTTCTGGCAAGTGAATGCACTTTATGACAAAAGCCTGAAAAAAACAAAAAAACAAAAAAAAACAAAACCAACCAAACAAACAAAACTACCACTAGTTCTTAAAGGATAGCTGCTTAGTCTACCTAAGAATCATGTTTTGAATGATTACAGAAGGTTTCAGTATTCATCACTGAGAAATCCAGCGCTTTTTGGTTGTAGAAAATTACATTTACTTCACTATTTGACAGTATTTTTTCAAACGACAGGTGTGACCATTAGTGAGTTATGACCGTCAGTGATTCATGTAGTAAATGTAATAAGTTAAAATCAACCAGCTTATGTGTGTGTCTCTGTACACTTTTGGCCCTTTCCTTTCCCTTTAAGAAGTCAAATTAATGGGCCAGTAGGTGGCATGGTGGTTAGGGCACTGGACTCCCACATGGCCGACTGTAGTTCTAGTCCCAGACTGGGTGACTTGCTTTCTCACTTTCTCTTCCTCTCTCTCTGTCTCTGGTGAGTACACATGTCCTATAACAAAATTAGAAAAGAAAAAAAAAAAGAAAAGAAAAGAAAAGAAAAATAATAAATAAATTTAAATAAATAATCTTACAAAAAGAAGTCAAATTAAAATGTGGCTTGCTCTATAAGAATATGAACAGGAATTATCAAACTTAAACATTAGGAACATTTTTCTCAGGAACTTAAATACCTTGCTCAAGTAGGAGGCTGACTGTAGGTCTTCCAGCTGAGCGGGAGTGAACATTTCTGTTGAACAACGAAATTCTTTTTATGTATTTAAATTTGAAAGTATTATTTTTGTTCTATTAACATAATTCAGAGCAAAAGAAATGTATAGCTCTACCATGGGACAACTCTTTGATCATTACTTAATTTGTTCTATAGCTATCGACATAGATAATTAATTAACCTACAAAGGTAAATTTAGCCTTTTGGCTAATTGGACCTGTCTGGTCAAAACTTGTCTTTGCTCTTCCTTCTGTTCGTTAGTGCCGGCAAATCTGGGAGAGAAATCTAGTCCAACCTATAACAAAAACATAAAAGCAAATCACATATTTAAGGTTAATGAGCCCCCAAAGAGTGCTGTCCACTGAAAGTGTACTGGGAGTCAAAAACCAAAGCCATATATATAATTTAACATTTTCTACTGGCCACATTCAAAACATTAACAGAACAAGCAAAATTTGTTTTAATCATATACTTTAATCCAGCATATCCAAAATGTTATTATTTCAACATGTAATCAACATAAAACAATGAATGTATATATATATATATATATATACAAAACTTTGAAATCTATTGTGTTTTAAACTCACAGTGCATCCAACCTGGAACAGTCACATGCAGAGTGCAAAGTAGCCACCTGTGGCCACCACACTGGACAGCACAGATTATGGGTGACTGTTTCTCTTAACACTACTTCTTTGGCATGTTACTCTATAACTATCTTCAGATTTTAAGTACTATTCTTATCTTTTATCTGTAATTAGAAATGAAATTTATTACAAAGTGCTAAAATATTCATAATTATAAGCCTCTTAAATAAATATGTTCTTTAATTACAAACTCTGGCCTATTTAAAGTAGGTTTCCAAAGTATTTATGATGAGTTATATATACCATTTTAACTCATCAAAACAATGTCTACTCCCACTGAGACAAGTCTATGGTAAGGGTTTCTATCGTTTCGTCCTCAAGCTCTCTTGCTTACTGAGGACATATCAAAAATTATCATTCAGCTCAACAGGTAAACATAATTACCCAAGCGAGGTATAATCACTAGGACTGAACTAAAGGTTATTTTTCATATATCATACGGAGGCCTGGATTAGAAGTTGTTTGATCAGCTAATGGGTGTGTTTACCTCTCCAATTGCCAATAACCGGTCCTTATACTTCTCAATAATGGGTAAAGCTACCTCCAGATCCTGGGAGAAAAAAAAGTAAAATTGTTAAAATGTAAAGGAAAGGAACTGATATTTAATGAACACCAAAAATGTGCCAAGCATGTTTTACCATGCTCACAGTTTACCTACACTTAATCCATTCAACTCGTTGAAGAAGTAGGAATAGTACTTGTTCTATACTTGACCTCTCTCTGTAAATTTGAGTAGAAACATATCCTATACTCATTCAGGTTAAAACAATATTATTTTTTGTGATGATTCCCACTTAAGCCCTATTTTTTGTTTAGAAGGCATTTCCTGGTATTTAGAAGCCAATTTAGATTTCCAGTAATAGCTAGCAAAGAAAAGTGAGACACCAAGTGGTCTTCTTTGCCTGTGGATTTTGTGGATTGTGCTGGGAATCTGAGCACAGACCACAGAAACCAGTGTTACGTTCTCCTCTTAGGGGTCTATTGGTTTGAGAGTTTATAATAGTGATAATCTTATATTTCCTTTACCCTATTTCCATTTATTTCTTTTGTCTTTATAGTCCTGGTTCTAAAGGTTCAGCAATATAAACACTGAATATTACATATATGCTTGTTTGTTACCTATTGAAGTAATTATGTGACATTAGTTTCAATGATATTACCTTTCAATTAAGATACTTATTCTTTGAGGGCTCCCTCCTAAGACAAGGGAAAAATAAATGTATGGAAAAATGTTTCCAGGTAAGCATTTTTTTTTAAATAGACCATAGTTTAGTTTATTTTTAACACCCATCATCCCATGAATTCATAGGGAATAGGTTCCAGTAGCTCAGGCTCCTTTCCATTGGTTCTCACAAAGTGTGCTTCTCTGGGTGGAGCAGGCTGGCATTTCAGTTGAACCAAGTACCTTTCTCTTTGGCGTCCTTCTTTTTCTGGTCACTTTCCTCCACACGTTTTAGGAAGCTCTCTCTGCTCTTAGAATGCTTAATATACTCAATATGCACATTAATTCTCTTGGCAAGAATCTTGCCCTTAACTTGTTTGTTCACAACAATGCCAACAGCATGCTGGGTGACACTGTAGACTCTTCCAGTTTTTGGCATGGTAACATTTGTGGGGCATTCCTTTTTGAATAGCACCCATTCCCTTAATGTCTACAGTATCTCCTTTTTAAATAGATTCCCATGTATGTTGCCAAAATAATCACTCCCTGCTTTCTAAAAGGCCTAGAGAACATATATTGGGTGCCTGTCCTCTTTCACTTTGCGTTTTTCATTTTGGTGAATTACTGGAAGATGGCAGTTCCAGCTAAAAAGCTCTTGATGAGTTTTAAAGTATTCTGTAGATTTCAATTTTAGGATATGTCAACTGCAAAGTACTTGTACTGAGGATAATCAAAACAAGTGAGAATTAAGAAAGAAATGCAGAGAAGATGAAAGAGGAATGGGAGATTTTATTTTATTATTATGCCTCAAGAGAGGGAAGAAAGATAAGGGACAGTAAATTAAGGCCTTGGAAATAGAATCTAGTGGACTCGATGAAGAGAAATGAACATTGTCACAGGGCGCTAAGAGGATAGACCCCGGATAGCAGAGAAGCATCTGACAAGTTGAGCAGGTTAAATAGTGTCACACAATTTTTTTTCATATCCAGCATCCAAACTACTCTAGATCTGTGGGACCTCAGAGCAACTGGAGAAATGGGAGAAATCACCCAGGAGATGTCTGACGCTGAAAAACAGAGTCAGAAAGAAATTGTGCATTTGGATGAAGATCAGATATAAGAAAAAGTATGCCTTTTAGGACATGATGGAAAAAGGCAAAACAAATTTACTATTCAGACTATTCAAACTCCTAATGAAATAGAAGCCTAAGTTTTTAGCAAGTCAGGGATGATAAACAGAAATTAAGAGTAGAATGTGATTCATATTACTTATTTAAAGTGTGCAAATGCATTTGTGTACATGGTCTTTATAATTTTAACAGATGTAAAAATATTTATAAATATATCCATAGGTCTATTTCTGACTTCAGTTCTATTCCTACTTTCCCCATAAGGTCTCAAGTTCCTAAGAGTTAATATTTCTATTTGAAGATCCCATACATTTTGACAGAGGGTAATGCTACTATATAATTATTCATGATATATGAGGGAGGAAGTGGAGACTTGGCAAAGCTGATAATGTGCCATAGGTCACAAAAGCCAGTAGTTCAGGTCTCTCTGACCTCAAAGTCCATCCTGTTCCCACCATGCTAGGGAAA